TATTACCTGACAACAGGAGCACCTGGGCTATGCTAGAGCCCAGCTCAGCCTCCCCAGTGCCACGTAGCTCCCGGATTTTTTGCTGTCCAAGCTCAAGTTGCAAGCAACATCGAGGCATCACAGCAGACACGCAGTCTGTTGATCACTGAATAATGAAAATTAATTGGGCTGCTGAGGCCCCTTCAGTACTCAGTATCATCTTGCTTCATCTTACACATAATCTTCCCCATCTCAAGTATTACATGCATCCCTCTCAAGGGGTGCATTCCACTGTTTTGGAAATGCTGCCTTAGAGAAATTCATTGCAGCACATCGATCTCAGAAGTAAGAAAAAAAAAAATCAGCCTTTTGCACTTTGTAGAGAGTTTCTGCTTTAATCCCACAGAAATAGGTGCTACAGACACCTATAGAAAAAAAAAAAAGTGACTGTAGGAAAGAGAAACACACTGTCTAAAACATAATTTGGAAGAATGGAAGAAGTGAAGTTTCTAGTTCATACAATAGAGTTGAGCATTAACCATCAGAGATCTATATCGCTGCTCTAGATCCTATATTTCTCCAGTCTACCTTCAGATTACTCTGCTTTCTCAAAATAAGGCATTTTTATTCTTCTTGCAACTATAAAATTGCTAGAAGAAATTTACAGTATCATTGAGACTGCTATAGAATTCAAACATGGAGAATGCAGGTTATCAATACAAGTGGAGTCTGAATACATGCTAGACTTCTATTTTGATAAAGTCTCAATTTTATTGGCAATGTTCTAGCTCTTTTGGTGGCGAATGGGAACGGCAATTGTTTCAATTACTTCCTGACACAGATGTTTAATCATACACTGTTTCATCTTTTCATAGACACCAAGTAGGTACATAGGGTACCAATGAGAAACATCAGTCAAATTTTTTCATCCCTTACGTCTCCACATAAATGGGTGGGACTTGGGCTGCTGCTACTCCACATGCGCCAAAGGTATATTGCACAACTAAAATGAGTGAATTATTTAAAATGTCCGCCTCCTATCCTCTAACACATAGCATATGGTACCATGCTTTTGGCAGGGTACAGGTCTAAAATTAGGATTTCATAGCTGTATTAAAATGGTAATTTTTACATCAGCATTTCAGCACAGTTGAGGTTTTATAATATTTTCTTTTTCAGAAAACAGGATCTTAAAATTGATTCCTTCACATAGACATTGGCTAAGTCTGCTCTGACACATTATCAGGTACGTTTTCAGTCATAAGCCAATGTTTATGAGTTTTATAATAAAAACAAAATGAATACCCTTGACCTCTCATTATGTGATTTCCAAAAACATTGCTTTCTTTCACCAGCTGAACATCATCATAACCTGATACAGGTTAAATTCATAGATGACTACCACTTTTCAAATGTACAAAACACTCCAGATTCTGATCTAAAACTAAATCTTTTGGCTTTTATTCTTTTGGGAGTATCCTTTGAATATCATTACACAAATGTTTCTTTCTTGCTTACACTAGTGAACAACTACACTGTAAAACCAACAGACACTAGAAGAAAGCATGCTCCAGGTTTATCTTTTTAAGTTCATGCCTCTGAGAAGCAGGACTTGCTTTGCATCTCAGGAAAGTCTACTCTCCACACCTCAGATTTCAGGCAACTCAGTGATGAATTACCTGGATGTTGTTTATTGCACTGCTGGTCCTAGACTTCCCCCTTACCTCCAAATTCTTCCCTGGTTGAGCAATACAATGACAGACTGCTTGAAACAGCCTGAAGGTGTTTTAAATAACTGTATGAAAAGCTCATCGCAGAATTAAGACTCTTTGTTCTTTTCTTGCTTAATTCCACATTGTGATACTACCTGCCATAAAGTCTCCAGGAATTAGGGAAAAGGAGTAAGAGCAATATGAAAGAAAAAGACAGATACTATGAAGTTACAAAGACTTACTGAATGTCTGTGAATAGAGGATACACACGGAAGTCTGTCTTTCTGTAGCTATGTCTACAGATAGAGGGACTGGATGTATAATAGAAACGATACCATACTGAAAATATTCACTACTGTGTGCTCTTTGGAATCACTATTCAAGTGAAAAAGAAATGCAATTCTTTGGATCTCTTAGCCTTCCCTCAAATTACATGGAATCCTTGCAAATATGAAACAGGAGTTCTTCCCACATACCAAAACCAATATATGGTAATTGTTTTATTTCATCCGTGGCCAACACAGCTACTATCAGACACAAAATGCAGAAAGAAACCAAACATAAAAGTAAAGAGAAAAATAATCAGCAGGCAAAATTTTGTGGGACACATACACAAATCATTACCATCGCCTGCATTACAGCACTGCTTAACTTGATGTGATTCAAGGCATCAGTTGCTTAAAATTAAGGTAGTACACATTTTGTAACTTTAGAACCTTAAAACGATCTATGTTTTAAAATTAACAATCTCAGAAACATTAAGATCATCACCTTATTTACAGATAGTATTTGGTGGCGGGTTCAGTTAGGTCACTCCAGTTACCTTCTATGATAATATACATCATGCACTTTCACATATGGGTAGGTATTACACACACACATATGTGCATATATATATATATATATTAGCACCTGTATCAGTTACCTTCCAAACTTTCTTGTTCATCTGGAGTGAAAGTATCCATCTGACTCTGCTCTCTCAAGAAATGGATGACTGCATAAACCAAGCGTTTGACTGATGACATTTTGAAATTGATGTGTTTCTCCTAGATCTTAAAAACAACAGGTTCTCATATTTTAGAAAAATGAACTCTTAAGAGTATTCCAGCGTCCCACTGACCTCAGCAAGAAGTACACACAATACACAAAAACTTATTCTTTACCAGAAAGCCCAATAAAGTGATGCCTTGAATCAAGTGGTTAAACTGTACGGATTAGAGAGAGCTCCTACAATCATCTAGTCTGTTAGCAAAAGAGCACAGATTTCCTCAGATTCATTCCTGTGTCAGAGTTCATTGAGGCTAAAATAATTTAGCAACTCATTTTTCTTTTTCTTTTTTTTTACAGTTTGGATTTTATTTCTAAGACGCATGCTCTTGGAAGCAGGAGCACATGCTTAGGTCAAAATTAATTAAAAAGCCACATTGATAAATATAATGACATGAAGAAACGCATTTTAATAAAAGGTATTCTATCCCCTGATGTAATGCTGCATGGTTTATATTCACTTTGGACAAAAAACTGGAACACTGTGACCTCAGTGCACACTTGTGATTAGTGACACTACTGGCTCAGTCCGACTTGCACTCAGCGTCGGCTGGGAGTTACATAACTTCGAGGAAAATTTCAGTGCCAACTTTTCAAGTTATTTTTCCTTAAACCACTTCGATTTAAAAGACCACAACCTTATCCAGTCGCCACGGGAAGCAGCTTAAAAAAGAGAGTTAAATGAATGGCAAGACCAGGGCCAACCCTCGCTAAACTCTTTTCCCCCGGTAACCCCTCGAGCAAACCGATGGCAGCCAAAACCGCGCCGAG